AAAAAAATTATACGTCATAAATTAATTTGCACAAAACGAATTTAATATTTTTTTTCTCTCTTTCAGTTGTATTTTTTTTCTTTTTAATTCTTTTACATGTAAATTGAGCACGCTTAAACGTTCCTTTGACTCACGGAAAGAAAGACACACACACATATACACTCCCTTTGACGCATGCCTTGGATTAAATAAATCCCAATGTAGCAAATCAAAGAATTAGATTATTAATTAATTGAATAAAGCAAACGAAATTGCGTGCACCAATAAACTCACATGCGTGCTTGGATTAAATAATGTCCATGCCACACGATAATAATTATATAATACAAAGTGTGGGGAAAAAAATATGATCCAATAATTATCGGATCCAATATGATCCAATAATTTATTTTTATAATTAAAATAATTATCATAGTGCAGATTCGAACTTGAATACAGTTGAAAATAAAATAATTTCTTCAAATGTTTGAAAACTTAATTTGAAAATGCAGTGATGAATGCATGCTTGCAATTTGTTGATGGAAATCTCCACACCACGTTTTTTCCTATTTTGTTTAAATTTGCTACGACAAGCAAAGATCTGTCGTATGGAGCAAAAAAATTGAAAACTCATGCTTCAAACATGAACCAACCAACCTAGATTAACATCATTCTATATATATTTTCTTTATAAAATCATACTAAATATTAAGTTTCTGATATTTGATTCCGTTCCCTGACACATAAATTCATGAAGGGCGGAACTAACAATTTTCACAAGATTACTAATTTCTATTCTACCATGTACATATGTATTTTTTTTTTCACTAACGATAACATTAGTGGGTTTAAATGTTAAATGTCAGAAAATAGAGAATTGATTGGGATCAAACCTTCACCAAGGCACATATACATTATTGTTTTTCGTCACTATGGTAATTCGCCATCTACATGTGCGACTTTTTGACTAGTTGGCTCTTTACCAATTTCTAGATCTCGTTATCCAATTCTGTCAAAATTTATAATTATCGTTACGTAGAATTCAATTCCATTACATTATACTGTTAATTCCAATAACTAAATTATTCCTAAATTAACATATACTTGAGTATAGTCAAGATTAATATTTAATTCCAATTTCTCTCTTGTTTATTATTAGGAAGATAAATTCTCCATTGTTTTCAAATCCTTGACAAACTTTTCCTTTGTCATAATATCTACCTTTTTTTTTCTTTTTTTTTAAACAAAATAATATCTAGTTTTCTTACGAGTAAAGCAAGAATAAGAAGCATGTTTTGTAATTTCCTGAACACAAGAAGGGTGTTTCCGGAAGTGAAAATAGGAAAATGAAAACAGAGTAGGGGTCCCTAGTGACAAAGTGTCTGACTTGACCAATCTGACCATCAAGAAACCGACACGTGTTATTTTTCTTTTGTAAAGGGCATTCGCTTCAAGAATTTCGTCTTCGATAACCCCATTTTTACGCAACTTTTTTTTTTTTTTGTAAAGGCCCTTCTTCAACAAGGTTTTGGATCATTTATAACTTTCAATATGACGTCACGGCTAGAAGCATGAAAAATGTTGGAATATGTCATAATCAAGTTTAGCTAGTGCGACACTATAGAATTAGTCGGTGTAATGGTATGACTTTCGGATGTTTGGAGATTATGGAGCAATGACATGATTTTATTATGCTGTTTAATATTTTCAAGAATTGTCTTAGAGTTCGATTTTGAATGAGAATTTCTAATTTGATTGCTCTTTATAGGAGAGTTGCTTCATTTTCATTTTGGTGTGCTACATCTTTGTTGGATCTATGTTGAAGGATGAAACTGTTTGGTTTGTTGAATCTACTACACTTGGTGTGACAGTGATTAGACCCGATGGGCATGATACCTTGTGTCTTAATATATTATTTGAGATTTTTTGTTGTCACATGATCTTTGTGTAATACAAGATTTAGTAGCTTCATTTATCTCGTAATCTTGTAGTTTTTTATGAGCTCAGATGAGTGCTTAATGTCTACTTATTTATTCGAGATTCGTGATGTTTATTGTTATATTTTTAGATCTAGTTTGTAAGAACGCTTTTGAGATTGAGTTCTTCATGATTATTTGCAATGCTCTTTTCTTTTCTTTTTTTTAAAAAAAAAACCCTCACAAATAAAATATATTTGATGGGGAAATTAAAATATAAAACACTAACAAAATGGGTGTTTCCATATATTTATTTTTATCTCTTACACACTCCTCTTAATTTTTAACAATCAGATCAATTGAATTGAAAAATCAAACGACATAAATTAAAAAAAAAAAAGGGTAAAATTAACCAAAAAAAGGGTTAAAATTAAAATAGGTGTTTGTTTCGCATCACCCATCAAAATATCGTTTAAAAAAATCAAATTAGTTGGAGAATCGCATATTGGCTTGGTGGCTCAGATCTGAGACGTGGCACATAGAAGCTACTTGTGCTGAGGGTCTCCACCAGCTGACATCAATGTTGACATTGTTTGTGGTAACCTGTTGATGTGATGTTGGGAATTTTTTGAATGGTTTGTAAAATTAGATATATCAAATGTTTTAACTGTTAAATTTTTGTTTAAAATATAACAATTAAAATGCTCAAAGTACTTGGGAGGACCTAAGCATTTGTGTGTAATATGCTGGTGAACCGTCGTACAACTGAACATGCGCACATTTAGGTAACATAGTTGGTTATGATGGTTTATCAGCCTCTTTTTTTCATCTTATTTTTTTTTTATCTAAGTTTGAATTTCCTGATAAAGTAATTGAGTATATGGTTTTACAAAAAAAAACATATTAAATCACATACTAAAATACATGTGAACATAGACCGAAGATATTCAAATGTTATAAATGCAGCACGATAACGAAAAAGAACCCCTATATCAACATAAAGCAAAAAAATCAATGTGAATCTTGAATATCATGACATGACAAGTATTTGTAGCCAGACAACAACGAGAATGGAATTCTGATGACGTGCTACGCAAGCTCCAAAATCAACATAATGAGGCCCCATTATTTACTTAATTTAAAATCAAGAGTTAGTTACACTATTGTACAAAAGATGCAAATTCGACACTTAGTTGTCAAATTTGAAGAATTATTGTTCTAATTTATGGAAAGAGATTTTCTGCGGATCTATACATTTGGAATTCAAGGATTAAATGATTCGGACCTTTAAAATTTGATCATGCAACTAAAAACTATTGTAGTTCTAAAATTTTTTTACTAACTTCTCTTCTTTTAACTGTTGAATTAAATTTTAAAGGTCCAAAACATTTACTTTCTGAGCTTCGAATGTAAAGATCCGGAGAGGTTCTCTTCTCCTAATTTCCGTCGTTATTGCTCGATTACTTTGCAACATGCTATTGCTGCCTGTGTTTTTGTCTCTTTCAGCCTTCACTGTATACGGCGTGCCGATAGGTGGAGTCCTTTGCAGACAGCTTATAATTGTTAACTTCAACTAACTATTTTTATTTTTTTTAATGTTCAATAAGATCGGAATACGATAACAAAGAAAACGAAATATGAAAAATTCAAAGAGGGTCCAAGAAAAAAGTCCATAGACTAGACTACAACGATTGACATATTATAAACTACTCTAATATGTGCAAATGAGTTTTGAACTTGAGTGCAAGCGACACGTACACTGCCTGGCCAATCTAACTAACCCACATATGCAATGAGACAGGACATGACTTTGATTTCAAAGAAATAAAAACGTTTCCCGAGCCTCCTACATTAAGTTTTGGCTAAATTCGTACCAGTTTATTGAGTATCTCCATTTTAGATAAGAAAGATGATTTTTGCACTCTTTTTTACTTCCTCACACCCTTCCTTTTTCCAGTCCTTGGATTGAACAAAACGAAGGAGAATCAAAGGCTAGAATTAAAAATGTAGTGTAAAAAGTGAAAAATAGTGTGCAAAAATCCCAACATGAACAAAACGAAAACGCTTCCTATAATGTTTCAGGGGAAGTACATACAAATGGCAAGTTTTAGGCCGAGTAATATTTAATACATGACACGATATAATTCTGCGGCATTTCACGTGAGGTTTTCTAGATAACATCTAAACATTCACGTTCAGTACCAATCTGCATTTTTTCTCACTAGTTTAGAGACTCAAATTGTTCCATGCTATATGGTTTCAAATCGACAAAAGTACGAAGAAAAGAAAGAAGATAAAACTCAACAAATAGATAACAGCTGCTCATCCTAACATGACACAAAAGCTTTTTGGCATGTCTAAAGATTGGTAATGACATTTTCGGTAACTGCACACGGAAAGAGATCCTCTCCGGATCTTTCCTTCCAGAGCCCAAGAATCAAGTGATCCGAGCTTTTAAATTTGATCTAACGATCAAAAATTATTATAGCTTTTAAAAGTTTTTACTAACTTCTATATTTTTAGTCATTGGATTAAATTTTAAACTCCAGATCACTTGATCCCTGGACTTTGGAGGGAAAGATACAGAGATGATCTCTTTCCAACTGCACACACCAAATTCTGACTAAAATCAAGAAGCTCTGACATGCCGACCAACACGTCGGAACAGGGCACAACACCACCTTGAACATTAGGTTCATCCATCTAGTTTCCAACTAAAAAACCAAGCAAGTACCATGCATAACATGTAAAATCATTCATATGCACACATCCTAAGTTTAACCAAACAGCAAGGACAACACATCGATCCTCCGCAACATTGGATTGGCAAGCATTGGCCGGAACCGGCTGTAGAACTAAGGTGATGCATGACACCAAAGTCTAAAAACTGACTAGGAAACCAGTGCAGCATGCCCGTATAAGGACAGATCATTTTGACACGGGGTTACGTCTAGATGATCGATCACAACAGTCTTACATGAAGTGTGGTGTCATTAAGTTTGGTACCATCACATTGTAAATTGCCCGTCTTGCGTTCTTTTATAACTAGGTAATTCGAACGATAACAACATTGTTCCCCGGATTACTCAGCAACCAAATGAAACATGTATAAAGCTAAAAGCTTGATGGGGAAATAGCATCTATTAGTACAAAGATAACTAACTGCAATCACTTGCTATTAATCAAACTTAATTAACACTAATCCACAAGAAATCAACACATTAGGGTTTTTAATTTATTAAATTTCATAAATAAACCTGTCGCTCCTCAGTGTGCTTTTCTCCTCCGGGGCTGCCTCTCCTTCTCAGTAGCTAATCTGAACATCCAATAAACCTAACACGATGAAAGATCAGTTTTTAGACAGTAATTAAAGCGAAAAGTCAAGAACAGGAAGGAAATTAGAGAGTACCAGAGCTAGGACGTGAGCTACTATTAGGAGAACCACCACGAACGGCACCGATTCTAGGAACCATGGCCGCAGAGACGCCGGCTGCGGATTCGCCATTTGATGGAAACAATGAGGTTTTGGAGAGAGATAGATGAGAGATGAAGCACTGCAATCAGAGAGGGTTTACGAGCTCGATGGTTTTACTCAAGTTGCCAAAAGAAAGAGGAAAGCCAGACTCTCACAGGCAAATGGGGACGGAGCAGGCTTCGGGTCGGGCTGACCTGATTAATTTCGCTCATGAACGTGGCAGCTGGTTAGGTGTCCGTACGTGGTGTCGAGTTCACTCGTAAACGTGGCAGCTTTCTCTCTCTCTCTCTCTCTCTCTCTCTCTCTCTCTCTCACTGGATCAATACTACAAACACTAGGGGTGCAATTTGCATATCTACAAAATCCGTGATGGCTTCCTGAGCTTCGCTCCACTGTTTTTGCCGCCGATGAGGAGTGTCTTTGCCGCGCTCAAGCGCCACCGCCACGTCACTCTGCTCTCCCAAAGTAAAGTACCACTCTTAACTTTCTGCTTTGCCTCGCATGATCACTCCGTTTTCCTGCGTCTAGATTTTACTAATTATCTGTTTGGTTGCTGAGAAAATGCGGGAAGAAAATCGCCTTCGCCATAGCTCAATTGCTATATTTCGTAATTTCTTGATTTGTTAGTTGATTATATTGATGAATTTACACACTTGGATTACATAATTGCCTCGTTAAATTGATTAGGGTAGTTAAACTCACGGATTATGTTACGAGTACTTCAATTTATTGGATTTTTCGTGCAGCTCTACACCATGAGAGAAAATGCACACCATTGGGATGCCATAAATATGTTGAAATTAGATGGAGACAAGAAAATTGGTTTCCATGTCAATTGTTACAGCAACATTCGTAAGTTTACGAAATGCTTTATGTTCAAGGCACTTGTTTTGTGTTCTCGTTTGAATTTAAAATGCTTCGTGTTAATCGGTTTTTGCAGTATTTCCACCAGCGTGCATGGTGAAATGCCATCTGCAGAGTATGCAAAGTTGAGGAAGGAATCACTAGAAAGTGAATTCGGGCATGCTCTCGATGCAGGCTCCAAAAGTATTTCTATTGTCTACCGCTTTGGTCCGTTTTTGGCTTTGTATAGAGCTGCAATCATTTCATTTCATGTGGTGAAGCTCACAATCTGGCAATTCTTTGTCCATGACATAAAGAAACGCGCCATCAAGGTGATCGACTAAATATGTTTGGTTTATTTTACATGATATGGTGTTGCATATGCTTTTGCATCTGCATTGATTTAGTGATGCTGTGACTGTACTGTATAGTTAGATTTACGTCAATTCACCTTTTATGATCCTAAAGTTAGAGAAATGTCTGAGATAATTAATGTGATCTTGCAGTTTCGTGAAACTCTTATCCTCTTGGGACCTTTCTACATCAAGGTAAGCGACTTTCTTTGCCATGGAATTTTCAAGACACCTTTTCTTTCCCCAATTGAGAGGTTAATATCGAATGATTGTAATCTTATGTCATTCTATTTCTTTTTAATTGCGCAATGCAAGATGCACCTAGTTTATCCAATTATGTTTGAATTCACAGCTCGGGCAGGCTTTGAGCACCAGGCCAGACATTCTAGCAACTATATACTGCCAAGAACTTGTTAAGTTACAGGTTAATAGCTTCTTTCTCACATAGGCTCATATAATAATGGGTATGTGATTGAATGTTGTAGCTCTCTTTACTTATTCATTATTATCCAACCCTTTAATAACAGGATCAAATACCTCCATTTCCAACGCGTATTGCAATTAAATCTATTGAATCTCAGCTGGGTGCCCCCATTTCAAAATTTTTTGCTGACATCAGCACAGAGCCTGTTGCAGCAGCATCCCTAGGGCAGGTCTATAAAGGTTAGAGAGCTCCTTTAGAATGTCATGCTTTTTTCTTGGCGGAAAAAACAAAAATCCTTTGATTTAGTGGCGTCTCCCATCAATGTTCAGCAAAAGAAGTACATGCTTGCGGGAAACCATTCAGGAAATGTTTATTTTGTTGCTTCAAGTTTTGCAGCTCACTTGCACTCTGGGGAGCTGGTAGCAGTTAAAGTACAAAGGCCGGGTATGTCACTTGCATTGACCCTTGATGCCTTGTTATTCAATATGATTGGGGGACAATTAAAGCGTTTTGCCAAGGCCCGCAAAGATCTACTAGTGGCAGTGAATGAGATGGTGTGTTGTCATCCCATGTAGAATGCATTTTATCATTTCTCTATCTCCATTTTGTAGAGTAAATTAAAATTTTGAATCTTCTCTAATGCCTAAACATATATCTGTGTCTAATTTTCAAGTTGGGTGATTGTCATAAAAGTAGAAATTTTCGCTTGTAACGCTATCTTCTATGGTGGGTTTAGTTTACCCCTGTGTAACTTTTCTTTTAGTTTGCCATCATGTTATTTTTTATGATGTTGCTAATGTACACGATATTTGGTATTTTATGAATGAATAGGTGAGACATATGTTTGATGAAATTGATTACATCCGAGAGGCAAACAGTGCTGACCGGTTTGCCTCGCTCTATGGTTCAGACCCAAGTATGTTTTTTCGAGTGCAATGTATTCAATAGATTATTAGATACGGAAGTCCTTCCACAATAGTTTTGCCTCTTATGTTAATCCCGCTTTCATTATATGATGATCTCCCCACTGGTTAAAGGGGACCCTGTTTATTGGTCCATTTGTTTCCTAGGAACATTCTTGAGTGAATTTCTGTTCTGAATATGCCCAAATATATTTACTGTACCCTCATTCAGGCTTTTAACCTGTGTTAAATACATGCCATGTCACCCCATTTTACAATTTTGATAGCAATTTTCTTCATGGGTGTTTTGAATTGCTTATGTTTTACTTATTTTGCCATGGATTTTTTTTCTAGAAAAGAGACATAGAATAAATAAATAAAAAAGCTCATTTGGATATTCATATGTAAGAATTAATTTATTTTATAAGTCGGTGCTTTACTCTTTTTACGGAGCTTGTATGCATGCCATAAAATTAGTGTACTATGCCGGTTGGGCAAAATTTGTTGGACTAGCTTTATAGGAGAATTCATCATGTCCTGTGTTGCGTTAATTCTCTACAAGGGGAGCTGTTATATGAGTAGATTTTTCTTTGTGAACGACAGGTGATGAGAAAAAGGCTGGTCCAAAGGCTACAGCTAGAAAAAGTCTTAAACATAAAGATGCAAACTGTATAAAAGTTCCAAAAATATATTGGGAGCTTACCCGTAGGGGTGTGCTTACAATGGAGTGGATTGATGGAATTAAGCTTACAGATGAGATTGCCTTAGAGAGGGCTGGTTTGAACAGAAAAGGATTAATTGACCAGGTATTTGGAAGGAATCGCTCACATCTATGTCCATTGGAACTTTTTAATGATAAATTTTTCTAGTTTTGACATTATAGAGATAAAAGATAAAGTAAGTTAAAGTGTAGGGCTATAGATTAGCAAAGAGAGTTCAGTAATTGAATTCTGAACTGAACCTGATTATGAAGTTTATAGGTACAAATACAATAGAAAAGTCGGATCAGATTTGGTTTAATAGTACTTAGGCAAAACTAACTAATGCGACTCTTGATGATCTTCTACTCTAGGCCTATAGCAAAACTGAGAAAATCTTAGCCGCCCTTGTAGATGCTTCTCCTAATGCCATCCAAACTCCTTAGAAAGTCACATATTAGACACGTGAACTTTTAACTATTTTGGAACCAACTTTTAGTCTTCTATTCGATAGTAATACCAAAACATGAAACAAAATGAATTTCACTTATGACATAAGTTAAAGAATATGACAAATGGTAATTATAGGGTTGGTCCAATGGCTTATTGGACCTGCTTGGGCTTACAAGTTGTCTTATGTACTAGTACTGCACGTAATTTGGCTGTGTTGTTATAGGATCTCATCCTTTTTGTCTTTCCTTATAGGGATTATACTGCTCTTTGAGACAATTGCTTGAGGTGGGATTTTTCCATGCTGACCCACATCCGGGTAACCTTGTTGCTACTGATAGTGGTGCTCTTGCTTATTTTGATTTTGGAATGATGGGTGAAATTCCTCGACATTATCGTGTGGGACTTATTCAAGTGGTAAGAACCATCAAATAATTATTTTCTCTGGGCACTAGTTCCAATCATTTATATGTGTAGCTTAAGTTATTATTTTTTCAACATAGAATTTTTAAGCAAGCATTTATTGCGTTTTGTTAGTATTAAGCTATTTATGGCCATTCTTCACCTTCATTTTGTTAGTATTTAAGCTATTTCATGGCCATCCTTCACCTACATTTGGGAAGATGGGATGAGTGGCAGTTACATTTTGTTAAGCTAGCTTTGTAATGAACTTATAAACGTTTTAACACTTCTTGGTGGTTAGTTTTCTTTACCCACCTCATTTCTTGAATCGTTAGTGTATAGATTGCAGTGTTACTTCTTGTTGGCTCTAAAGGAATTATATACATTCGTACATTGTTTTGTCATGCTTAGATTTTATCGTCTTCGATAAGTTTGAGATTACTTGTATGTATATATCTTATCGTCTTTGATGAGTTTCCTTGGACACCCAAAAACAAAAGGAGTTTGTATTTGGTTGCCTCATGAGTAGTTTCTCATTCTGTTAAGCAGTTTTGTGCTTGTTCTTTTTTGTACGATGTTGCTAAATATTTCGGCAAATTGACTTATGGTTGTTTTAATTGACAAGTTTCTGTATCTTTCAGCTTGTGCACTATGTTAATCGAGACTCCCTGGGTTTGGCAAATGACTTTCTTTCATTGGGATTCCTTCCAGAAGGGGTTGATATACAATTAGTTTCTGATGCATTGCAGGCATCCTTTAGTGGCCGGACTAGACAGTCTCAAGATTTCCAAGTTTGTGCTTCTCGTCCTTTTATCTATCCCTTCTGAGCATACTTGTAGTTATCTGTTCACTTCAATTGTTTTAGTTGTGGAAATCGGCATAAGGTTATTAAGACACTGCAATTTATGGGAGTAAAAGTATCCCCTTATATCTAATTCTTGCAATGGACTCCAGGGAGTAATGGACCAACTCTACGATATTATGTACGAATTTAACTTCTCTCT